TGATAATATTGAATAAATGGATCGCCATACCGGAACATACTATTTTAAAAGTTTTTTCACAAAACTCACAGTAGCCTACCAGGTACCAAATTTAGGAGGGGATGGGACAAGAGTATGTATTTCCGTGCGAGACACACCAAGGATAACCCAGCCCGAAGGAATGTTTCTTCGGGTGGGGAATTGGGCAGTACATCGACAGGTAAGATTTTTTGAAGAGTGTTCAACACATTCTTTAACGTATTGTACTTGTCCCGACAAGCGGCATAAACCTCTCATGCGAAAGATGTTACCCTCTCCAGCCGAAACACAAGGAGAGAAGCGTTGGAACTGAACCAGGTAGCAAAGATCTGAAGGATCAGCTCCACGGTTGATGGCACAATGGTTACTCCACCAGTTAAACTGACTGTAAGCTACATTGCTTATTAGATTAATGAGGAAAGGTTATATTGATTTGTTTTGTTTTATGTGATCGACGTCTACAGTACAGTAATTGGAATCCTTAGTAAATATCGCTATGGCAACGCAAATTAGATTACTAACCCTAAATAAATCTTTTCTAGTTCAAGTTCGTACCGCTGGTTGTTTTCAATTAAACATTAAGGTTTTTGAAATCCTTTAATTTTCCTACCGCCACTTTCTTGTCCTTTTTAAATATTATTTTAATTAAAATGGGTTTTTTCCTAGGGATTTAGGGCTTTCTTGCTTTTTTTTTCTCTGTGCTCTAGAAAAGGTCAATGAAACAGGAAATGGGTTAAAAAAAAAGTAAGAAACGGAAATGACGAAATAGGTTGACCTTGAGCGTTATAGATACAGTTGAGTTCATGGTGTTGTATTTGATACGATTGTTTCCTTATTATTCCGACACCTACTACTAGTTTTAGATTTCTGTAATCTTTGTAGATTTAATCGAGAATATGATACTCTTGATTGATTACACCTATATATTTTGAAATTGTAACATTCTACTCTTTAACTATTACAAAAGTATCAAATTACTTTCCCGTATTTAGTGTTAATAGTATAAATATTATATCTTATATGCTTTTTGTATTATATATAATATTATAATAACAATATTAATAATAATAATAATAATAATTAATAATTGATAATAATACAATTGTTGATGATAACGATATGATAAATGCAGATTGCCGTTTACAGTGCCCCACTTTGTATAGAAAATCAGTATTTCACTTGCATTGTTTTTTTTTAGTAAACAATATAATTCGACTGCATAGATTTCCAAAAGAGTTTTTTTTTTTCGATTAAAACTTTACTTGTTAATATAAACAAAACTGATTCTTCATTCTCTTTAAAAATAAAAGTTAACCATAATTGTGGTGTTAGATCTGAACAACATTTTCTTTTTTCATTCTGTCTTTAAACTTTCAGAATCAAAAAAATAATAAGACAGTTAAAAGAAGTATTATTCCCTTTATTGTTCTTCTTTGAACAGAAAGGTATCTGATTGTTGAACTAATGACTCTTTCTTATTTTCTTTAAGAATAAAAGTTGACCATAATCGTGGTGTTAGATCTGAACAACATTTTTTTTTCATTTAACCTTTAACTTTCAGAATCGAAAAACTTAAGACGGTCAAAAGCCGTGTCTCTCCCTGTAACAGAATGGTATCTGATTGTTGAACTCCTGACTTTTTCTTTATACCTTTGGGATTTTCAATGCCATTAATTCTCCTTCCTGGTACTGATTCCGTTTTCAGTGTTTCCGAACAATTGTTCTGAGAGATTTTTTTTTCTAAAGGCATGAACACATTGTATTTCAAATGTTAGTGGTTTCTATTAGAGAACTATTATTGTAAGGAATATAGCATAAAGCCAAGCCTACAATAAGTTCCACAAGCCTGATTGGTTATCGTTATCGTTGGTATATATCTACAATTTACTGACATTGCCAACATATGAAGTTAAAGAATGTAGGTAGAACTTTGGCAGTGACCGATCGTGAAGGGGACAAGACTTACAATTCCCCTTTTTTGTTTGACTTTCAATTTTATAATAAAATAAAAGATTTACAGGTGGAAACACCCTTTGTTCTACTTTTCGGAAATTCTGGATATGCCCCTTGATAGTAATGTTGATGGTGATGTTGTTGTTGATGGTAATGATGATGTTAATATATGGTGATATTGATGGTGAAGTTGGTGGTGATGCTGGTAATGGTGATAGTGATGGGGATGATGATTGTGGCGGTCGGTCGGGATCAGGATGCCGATGTTGTGCGTTGCTATGGCACTCATTATCCGATGATAGGTTAAGTTATAGCATGGACCTCCATAGTTATAGTCTCTTGCGTGAATTATTTCTCTAAATTCACACAAACCAAAAGAATAAGACGGTAAATCTAAATACAAAATTAAGAATGCCTACTGAAACTTAATAGGGATGAAACGTTGATGGTGAGCGTTGCTAGTAATATATATCTATATTCTACGTAAATTATTTTCTCAATTACAACGATAATAAGGTCTTAATTGAAGGCACGCAATGAAGAAGCAAGAGTTTATTAGGGTAAAATTATTCTTTGTAAATAAATCGGCGCCTTTGTATATAATGTTCCTATTATGAGTTATTATTTGGCCGTCTGCATTTAACCGCCCCTCGATCATTGTATACATTTTTCTATTGTTGGTTGACAAAAAAGATTAGCCCAAGCATGGGCCTGTTTAACAACTGAAAGTGGTTAATTTGTAAAACGATTTTTTTTTGATAGTCAGTTAGTATATTATGTATATATTTTTGTTAAAATAAATAATACATATTTCACAATATTTATTAATATCAAATAATATAATTTAATAATATAGGTTTTGTAAAACAGTCCTTATGCCCCTCCAGGGTATACATTACATATTTTTCGTTGAATTATTGACAGAGCATATCAATTTTCATTAGCGCTTAAATAAAAAATAAAAAAAACAATGTTAGAAAATATAGTATAGGCCTTGTGAAATATATTATGAATGTATAAGTTACGTATTTTACCCGTGGCAGTAAAGATCATTCTATTTATTTTCCAACCTAATTTCCGACCTCTTTGCAAATTTGGTGTAGTCTCGTAAACTAACCACCTATTAATATTTGAAAAGACTTTGCTAAGCCAGACTGAACAAAAATTATGTTTGTAGAGCAATCATTTGACAAAACCTCCCAATGTGCTCAGAAATTATGTTCTTATAACTGAAGGATTCCCCCTTGACGGACGAGACCACGTTGGAGGCTGGGTCTCTGATGTTACTTCAAGCATAGTACCGTAGGCCCAGGTCTGGATGTAAATCACAACCTTGAAGGCAGTTTGGTTGTTTTGATGACTTTGATGAGAAAAACAGATGTAACTATCCCACTGCCTTTTCCCATGGCCGGCCTTCGGATATCGTCAACCGCACTTTCCTTCTTGTCACGTGACCGTTGCTTTATGTTCCAACAAGGGAGGCCTTTGGAATTAGATTTGGTGGTATAGTGCAACTAAAATACCGGTCATGGGTGATTTCACCATATTTGCAGTGTACGTATTTTTGTATCAGTCCATGGATACATCGTTTAAATAGCCAACATTCTGGATGAGGGCCTCCAGTTAAAGTGATTTCCGAAAGTTAATGTGCAAATGCTGCAAAATATGTAAATAAACTTGATCACTGATGGTTGCAAAAGTATGAATTAATAAGAACCAGTAAAATTTTGCCCAGGCTCAGTGTTCTTATTTTTTGGCTGATTTCAGGCTCAAAATGTTCTTATTTTGTTCTTATTTTACACACTTTTCAAACACAGAAAATTATATTGAACAGTAGTATAATACTGTAGATAAAAATGGCCACTGAAAAAAGGCCCCAGAAAAAATGGCCCCAGAAAAAAAACCCTGTAAAAATGGCCCCAAATGACAGTTACACCTACTGTACTGTAATAATAGAGAGTATTACATAGTCACAACTACTGCACATAAGGTACAGATATATATTTTTTGTTTTTCTACTTTAAAAAAAAATAATTAAAAAAACCTCATTTGACATTTTACCTCAGCCTCAATTTGTTCTTATTTTGTAAAAAGCATAGCAACAGGACTCGAGACTCTTCGTTACGCCACTGACTCTAAACACACAAGATTAGTTTTAGACCATTTTGTCCATGATTAGGCCGACTCACTGTTATTGTTTTTGTATCAAAATAATAGGCCTATTGGTAGCACGTGGGTGCTATCTGAACTGAAAGTGTGACTCTTATCTATGCTGTCGGCCTTTAATGGAAAGCCTTCGATTGCCTCTTATCATACTTCCAATAGTTTAATCGATTGGTACTTAGACGATCAAAATAAATTCAGTAGCTCCAACTACTGTACAGTATCTGACTCTTACAGACACCGTACCCCTTTACAAACAGTAGCCTACAGCGTGGAGGTGGTTCTAGACTACTTTACTTTAAATCTCTTTACCGTGGTTCTGTGTCAATTTTTGTCATTCGAATGTGTCGATAAATGCCCACTGATTAGGTTTCCATACGATCCCAAGCGAGAAATGCTAGAACTAATAGCGCAAACTGTAGAAGTTCCGGCAATAAGCATTCGTAATGCATGTAGAGCTACTGGGTAGTTCTAGTCAATTGGCCATGATTATTAGGTGTTAACACCTGTCTCTTATACACATCTTTAGACCTAGGCCTATAGTATTCCTCTATACGTCTATGCTTCTCATATTTTCTGAAACATTCCTCTTTGAATGTTCACGGGTTGTCATCTTCCGTGTGGATGATATGGAAACGAGTACGGTACCAAACAAATGGTATTCTGTTAATGTAAAGTAACGCTTTCATTAATACTGGCTACACATGGAACGTGTTTAATTTCTAAAACATACTTTTTTTTCATCAATCATGTCTTAATACCACACTACTAGTGACAAATTACGACACCAATCCGACAACGAATACTAAATTTTGGACTTACGTGAGGCAATTTGGGAATTATTTTATTTCTATTAATTTCTTTAGGTTCATCGGATCAAGGTTTCAAGATTGATCTTAATACAAAACCGAGGAAGGAACGCACAGCCTTTACTAAGGAACAAGTTCGTGAACTAGAGAATGAGTTCCAGCACCACAACTATCTAACAAGACTAAGGCGGTATGAAATAGCGGTCACTCTCAACCTCACAGAAAGACAGGTAGGTTTATGTAGGCCTACTGTATTTTAAACTTTAGAAGCATACTTCTATAATGTGTCTGTATAAGAGTGTATGAAGCTACTAATAAAACTCCATCCTAATACAGAATATATTTATTTTTACTTTTTTTATCCGAACCATGATCTACTCATCAGTATTATGGTTTTTGAGTTACCAAATGTTTTCACAAATTCGTTCGGCAAACGAAACCATTTAAAAAAAAAATAATCATCTACAATACATCTAATGTTTCATTTGAAATTCAGTTAAAAAAATGGTTAAATACTATGAATACTGTTAAATTAATACAGTAAATTATAATATTACCTACAAATAAATTTTGTTTAACATTATTAACTTTACCGAAGGGAACTAAGAATTGTGCTCCCGTAAGACAATGTTTAGGAACTGTCTAAATTAAGACATAAACTAAAAGCAAATTATAATTGTAATAGGCCTAATAACAATACGACATATCAGTGGTCTACTCTCCATCCAAATTATGACGTCACGGAAAGTTGTTAAAATGGAAGAGTGGACCAAGGCTCGTTCCATCCTATTCGACGTACGAAACATACACAGGAGAGCAATCAACTGCAACCGATCTATTTCATTTCCTAAACAAGGCAGCACGGCCTCGTTCTAGACTACTTTACTTTAAATCTCTTTACCGTGGTTCTGTGTCAATTTTTGTCATTCGAATGTGTCGATAAATGCCCACTGATTAGGTTTCCATACGATCCCAAGCGAGAAATGCTAGAACTAATAGCGCAAACTGTAGAAGTTCCGGCAATAAGCATTCGTAATGCATGTAGAGCTACTGGGTAGTTCTAGTCAATTGGCCATGATTATTAGGTGTTAACACTTTCAAAACATTGGATCTATTTAGGCGCGAGCAGCTAGAACGATCGGCCGTTTTTTTTTTTTTGTTTTTTTTTTTGTTTTTTTTAGGATACTGTTTCATATTAAATTTGCAATTAATAAGAGTCAATGCATAGATGATTATGTAAATTTGCATTGCATATATAGCTTTTGCTTTCAATATAAAGTTATTGTGGTCTACACTGGTTCGCTGTGTATACGAAGGTTACTATAATTGGGCTTACGTCATTTTACGTTACGTTTTAATATTTAATTATTACAGTGCAACAGATTATTCGGCTTGCTTCTAGGTGTACGGTACCCATCTGATATACCAATAAATATTTTGTTTAAGTATTCATTTACATTAATATTATATAGTATATAATGATAAAATAAAGTGTAATACAAGTATTGCATGATATTTGTTTTGTTTGTTGCTTCGAAATATCCAGTGATAAACTTTCACAAAAATGTAGATATTTAGAAGAATCATTCACGTGGTCATGAAAAGGTGTTTGAAATTGTAAACTGTATCTTGAATTCATACTTCGTTAACATGAAGTCAAGCTAAGATCGAGAGTCCTTCACACTGCAAGAGTAATGTCACGAACAAAACACATCATATAGTCAGTGATGTTGACGCGGCTAGCCCTGATTGATCCAGGCCCACCTTTCAAGTGACGGCTCGTCACAGAACAGACAATTCACATCATCTTCAAGGTGTGCTAAAGGTGAACATTAGGTCGCGATCTTTCAGGTCCATCGGACAGGTCGTGTATCGGCATTCCGAATCGGTCATATGGAAAAATGCCCCGATCGTTTCCAAATGGTTCCTGTATTGTCTAATGCCAATTTGCACTGAAATTAAATCAGTGAAGCTTATTTGGAAAATTTCAAACGACATGGTTAAATTTAAATTGTATTGGTTTGTTAATTATCCATTTGAGTCGAAAAACAGATAGCAAAGCATCTCACGGACTAGCTCTGACGATTGGTGGCGCTCATCAATTAATTAAAAACGTATGATTTAATTTCTGAAATACGTTGGAACTTCGTTATTATGCACACTACTAGTCAATTAATCAGTGTTTATTTATTTTTTACTTAGCAAACGCTTATTCACCATTAGGTTAGAGAAACATGGATTTAAGCTGAATAATTTAAATAACTATCAAATCCTATAGAAATATTATATTGATCAATATATATCAGTAGGCCTATTTTTGAAAATCACTACACTGACAAGAAAGTTTCATCAAAACCACAATGAGAACATAACGAATAAACATTTTCATAATTTGTTCAGTTTTGTAGGCCTATACATCAATTGAAATGGACCATCCCAGCTAAAAATGACGTTACAAATAAAGTTACAATTTTGTGTTAAAAAACGTCATGTGTTTGTAGGCAATTAATTACATGTATTTAAAAATTGTTGGTAGATTGATTCAGACTATACCGCTTGATAAATGCTTTTTTTAACACGCTACCAGACACAGAAAGAAATATTCGAAACAATTATATTTGACTATTACTTCCGACGCTAGTATTTCATGGCAGACGTTTGGCGACACCTAAAAGTTTAGTACCTTGGTCTGGTTTCATTCCGACATAAAAAGCAACGATAACGTGTCGTTAGTCCTGTCCTATTATATAAATTTGGGGCAAATTTAAAAAGGGTAGTATTTAATGACAAGTTCTTATTGTACAGAAAATATTCGTGAGTGAGGGTAGCCGCAAGCCTGGCAGCCACGGTGGTCGTCTTCCCGAGTTCAGCACAATTAAAAGTCAGGATTTTCCGCCTTCTAGGATGGAACTTACAGTACAAACATCTTTTCGTGAATCTATTAAAAATAAGTTCGTTTCCTGGTCCTTATGATGAAGAAAATCCATGCACAAATCTGAAAACAATAACGATGATACGATAAAGTAGCATATTTATTGTAATGCGAACCATCGAAAAACTAAATATGGAAGAGAGGCCGGTAACAATAGTGTTTAGAGAGATCAACTAAAGGAAGCTAAGGTTTTCCCGGGGAAGATTACAAGCTCAATGGAAGTAAAGTACCGGTACATATTCCCATTGACAGTCAAGTTCAAACATTGTTCTAAAGATATAATTTTTAATCAGATCTAGTATTTAAGAAAGTAAAATGATAAATGTTATTATTGTGTAGTTAAAATTCTGATTAATCTAACGGCATCAACCAACATTTAAACTATTTGGTTAATGCAACGATGTTCGTTCCATCAACCACAATTTGGTAGATGTGGTTGATGGAACGGACTCCGTGCATGATGTTAGTAAACTGAATTTTTACACATTAGTTCTGTTATTATTTTTCTATTAATTCAAGATGTGTTCTTGAAAAAAAAAATGACGATCAGCTCATGCAAAGGGAATTACGGTAACGTAATAAGCCAATATCCATTTGACAGCAATGGGATAAAATGAAGTAGAAAGCCATGGTTTCCACCTGGACATTCCGTTCATAGGTTTATGTAGAACTGGAAAAAGGTTTTATTAAATATATCAAGATGCCTCTCCTTTATAATGTATTGGTTGGACGCGTTATTCAAACTCCAGGTTGGTAAGGGCAATACGTTTACTGTACTAGAACAATATATAGGGTCTACCGGTAATTAGGCCTACAGTCTTGGACTGCTCACTGAAATACTATTAAATACCAGGTGGGAAGAACGCTCTTTTGTTGTTGCCACAGGATCTTGGAGCTTCAAGAGAGATCTAAAAACATTCCTTTTCAGTGCTGCATTTATCCGATAAAACATTTACAGAAGCGCCGTGAGCGTCATATATGACGCGGATACCGAGGCTATATAAATGTTCTATTCTACTTTATTCTATTCTATTCTATTCTATTATTACAGTATTACCACTTTGAGATTTACAGTTGCCAACAATAGCGTTTGCATCTTCAGGACCCATCTAGCTGACTTGATAGCCGTAAAATATTGTGTCTAATAATTCATTTTGGTACCGTATTGGGACTGTCGAGTGATTTATACCCGGAGTGTGTTCCTTGAGTGATCATTTCAGGCCCTTTAGTGACATTTCTTTCATTCTGTGGGATGACATTTCACCCGTTGCTCGTTTGCGCATATTCTCCCCTCTCGTTTTTCACAAAGGTCACACTTATTAAGTGTGAAAAGTCCGGATAACGGATTTGAATTTATTATCAAAGACAATTTTTATGAGTATGTCCAGCCAATAATTATTATATCGCGTTCGTCATTTTGAGTTTCATAAAGATATACTTGGTGTTAAATCAAGATTTAATGTTACCAACTGAATTATTATTAGTCAAATGTAATGTTTATTTTGGTCAATATGTTGAAAGTAGTGTCTAACTTTAAAAGCACGATGTAGGCCTATGTCTATATATACCAGTCATAATAATTGATTAGAGTTTGTTACAGTTTAGGAATGGTTTTGTCCGTGACAAATCAATGTGTCCCAATTAGAGGTACCGTATATTTTAATTTTCAATTTATTCGTCCGTTCAATGATGCCTTTCCTCCTTCTCGTGGCTAACTGTTTTATGTGTGCTGGATGACTTATCACGTTCATACTTACAACATGTTCTAACTACTACTACCACCTAGCTTATGCTACTGAACTGTATGTTGTAAAATGGGTCTTTAGCTTTTACGCAGTATGTCCCTTGCATATTTACTTTTACTTAAATATTTGATTAGGTTAGATATATATATATATATATAGGCTTATATACATATATATATACATACATAATACATAATTATATATACATATACATATACATATATGTATATGTATATATACATATACATATATATGCATATATATACGTACATATACGTACTTATATGTACGTATACTGTCTCTTATACACATCT